CGTCCTCTCCCTGCCCACTCTCCGCCTAGTATCCACCCACTGCCCGGTTACATTCCGATCACTTCTCCCGCCCCCAGCTCTCTCCGGTCCCGCTTCTGCCGATGCCACGCCCTCTCATAACCTTGACACAGCATGGGCCTCGCTACCCCCTCGTCACAGCAATTACCGTGTTCTCCCGTCCATTTCCTCCCCTTCCTCACTCCATCCAGTGCTTAGCACGGGCGCGTGTGCACAGCGGCCAAGTTAGCGTATCGGGCGCGAAGCACTTGGTGCGGGTCAGGGGTTAAAGGGAGAGGCTCGCTGGGCGCTAATGAAGCCCGGAGCCAGGCCGCCGTGTGCGCCGGCACGTAATTTTAATAACCCCCCGCCCGCGCGCCAACTTGGCCCTATTATTTCACACTCGCCGCTCCCTCGATCGCACTTTTTCTGCGGAGGAGTTTGCATGACCAGCCACGCTCCCTGCATCCCCCCACCGGCGGTTGTGTCGGCTGAGGGCAGTGCTACCAGTGCAGCAACACTGCCTGGAAGGTGCTAATGTTTTATGTATTTTATTTTATTTATTGTATTTATTATATTTATTTCCTTTTTTTTATTTATTTTATTTATTTCATTTAGTTTATTTATTTGATTTATTTGATTTATTTTCTGTCAAAAACAGTTACAAAACTTTGTGTGTCGTCTAGGGAGAGAAGTGTATTCCGCGCACGTCATCTTAATTCTGGGATTCCTACCTTAAGCCATATAAAAGTTTAATTCTCAATACCGAAATAAATTAGGGTTTTCGCAAATGAGAAAACAATTTTCATTTATGCAACAAAATATATTTTCTAGGGCAAATTAGCTGTAGATTTATATTGTTTCCTTCACTGGGTCCGTGAAGGAATATACTTCCTGTCACACGTAGAGAACGATCATTTGAATAACTATATTTCCCACTGAACTCTAGAAGACGCGCACTGATAGTGAGGTTACATCCACGTCCAGAAGCATAACAAGGGTCCATCTTACCATTTTCGCAGGGAAACTTAAGCTTACTCTGCTGATTTTCAACATTAGGTACATAGCTGGATCAAATTCTGTCCTTGTCTGGACGAGAATTCTAGCGGCGGGCTGGCGGTAGTTTCCTGTGATTTCCAATTAATGGCAGGAAAATGCTGGAACAGTATCCCAACAAAGGAAGCACAGAGAGTGCGCAATCGTTTTTCCTTATTCCTATTACCTTCTCTCCCCTTACCCTGATGACAAGCTCTACCTACTTTCTAAGATCTGCGGCAACTTTTGTATTTTCATACCTCAAGAACGGCAAATTATGGGCTATTCAGTTTTGGGTTGGATGAAATGGTTGGGCTAACACTTGACGACGCGTCGTCAGGAGACCCAGTCGAGAGCTTAGAATGTCCCGGCAGAGGTCGCCACTGGCGGAGATACCTGGTAGGGAAACCTTCGCATGCAGATATGTAGTCGGGGGGAACCACATTTTATAACGTGCACTACACTTACGAGTTCTTAAAATGTTAATTCTATTTTTTAAATTATTTGTAATCTATTTATTCTAATGATGTTGTTCTTTGATGCACGTTTTAATGTTTTTTTCTTGTACTAGAAAACTAATTATGATGGCGAAGCCTTCGAAAACTGCTATTGCAATAAACAATATTGTTGGCAATGACGACTAGTATAATTATTTCATTGTAAATGCCAATGAAACCTCACCACAATATCAATACTTTCAATCGTGGCCGCTAATGAAGTTTCCTTGTCCCGCTGGGATGCAGTTCCTGATTGTCCCGTGAGGAATTTACGACGGACTCAATAATTTCGTGAATAATTTACAAACGAAATTGTTCAGAAGTGTTCACGGGTTGCTGCCAAATAGCATACCAAAATTTTCTGATTTAAACCCGAATTACACTTTTCTCCTGACGAATGACTCACTTATTTTAACGAAAGTGAGTTATTCTCGAGAATGACTCTCGAGAAAGGCGTCCAGAATGTACGTTTTCCCGGGTCGTTAACAAAAACACTATTTCATGGTAAAACTTCTTTGTAATAGACACTGCACACGATGCACTATTTTTTCACGTAATCACAATTGAAATTGAAACCTTTTGCCGTGTTTTGGGATCAACATTTGTAACACTGTGTTGTTCAAGTATGCCACGTGGAATAGGTACCAGTGGGGTGGTACCTGGGGCGTTAGCTTCTACCGCCAAACACGAAAGCTGGTTAACAATCTGTATCATAAAGATAGAAAAGTGATATCTAAGATCTTGATAGCCTCTGGGTAGATTTTGAAAATCAGGATGTATTTTTTAATCCGAGAAATTATTAATTCTGCTATTACAAAATGTTTGGTAACTTCAGTATTCAAAAATTTTTTAAAGTATAATTGCATTTAAATATTTATGTTACGCAAAATGTGAATTGGCAAATTTGCGATGAATTGCTAAGAGTTCCTTATTGCATTGCGAAGAACTATGAACAACTGGTATATTATCATTCCGTTTCTATTCTTGAACAAGTTTATCATTTCGTGGAGAAAGAAGAAAATTTGTAACTAAGTAAGTGCTCAAAGAGATAAGAAATATGTTATAGTAACCCAGGCGAGTTTATACAATTTTCTGCTCAAAGTCCTTTATAGACAATTAAGTAGAGTGCAGCTCTGCTAGATATGCTAAATTCTATTAAATCATTTACTCGTATTTCTTCAATGGATAGACAGAGTCTAACTCTTTTCCTGTAACGCTCCTCAACTAATTTTGAACTCCCTTATTTGCTCGTATCCCATTAGCCACACACTGCACTCTACTCAGTGTCCCGCCCTGCGGAACCCCTCTCGTGGCGCTAATGGGCGAAGTTGATTCGCGTATCAGTTACAGCAGTTCTTCCCTCGCGCACCCACTCTCGCATTCAGAAGCGCTCTACGCGCAGCGAGAGTTCAATTTCCCAACACACAGCGCGACTCGTTTCGCATCTAGAGGGAGGGGGGGGGGGGGGGAGCGGCGTACGGCGAGCGGGAAGCAGAAGGGAGCGCGGAATTCGGAAAGTTATTCCGAACATCCACGAGGGGCGATTCTACCTGTGCGCACGGGACTCGCCTCTCCCGGCTAAAGATAGTCTCACCTATCTGCGCCAGCAGGAAGGGTGGGAGAGATGCGGTGGGGTGGGGCAGGCGGAGGGGAAGGAAACGCGTGCCACAACGGCGGAATATTAATAGACACAGGTCGAGACGATAGCCCAGATAACTCCCGGCCTAATTAATTTTTATGCAAATGTGACTTTTACAAGATTCCGCGCGCCCTGGAATAACTACGGCTTCTTCCGCGCGCCCCCCGCGTGCGCGCCTCGCCGTGCGCCGCGTGGCGATGTATCGGCCGCGCGCTTCACGCCCGTGTTCTTATTCTGCCGCCCGCTTTAAGTTGCGCGGGGGGGGAGGAAGTATTTTATTCGACGCGGATTGCACCTCGCAGCGGCCTCTTTTTCGCTCCCGCCGGGCCCCAGCCGGGCGCTTCACGCGCGCGCGCGCCTCGTATTTTTGCCCCCCACCCCCCACCCCCCCGCCAGCTCCCGCTTGCGCTCTTTCTTCGTCTTTTTTTTTTTTCTTTTTTTGCGTCGACCGCGCCGCGTCTGGCGTGCGCGCCGCCCGTCCTCTTTTGCTGTAGTTTCATTAAAACTTTCCGCGACACGTCTTTCCCTACCCATGCTCGCCCCGCGTGCGCCAGGCGGGGAAGGGTGGGGCAGGCACGAGGCGGGGTGACGCGGAGCAAAGCGGTGCGGAATGAGCGCGGGCGGAGTGGAACGGAGTGTGGTGAAACGGGGAGGAGCGGTGCTAGTGGCAGATGGGCTGGGTGAGGGGAGAGCGAAGGGAGCATAAAGGGGGCGAGGCGTGAAGCGAGACTGTGAAGAACGGTGCGGAGATGAAACAGAACGGACGTTACTGAACTCGGCGGCAGGCGGGTGGAGAGTGGCGGAGTGGGAGGAGTAGGGCGGAGCGGGGTTTAGTATGGCTTGTGTAGGTTACCCACTTCAGTGTTCTTTCCTCTTGTTCTGTTCTTCTCTCTGTTCTTCTTTCTCCTCTTCCTCATCTTCTTCCTCTTCTTCTTCTTCCTCTTCTTTCTTCTTCCCTCTTCTTCTTGTCTCTTCGCCTTCTCCCTCTTCTTCTTCTTCTTCTTCTTCTTCCTCTTCCTCTTTCTTCTTTCTTCCGTTCTTGGTTCTCTTTCTTTCTTCTTCTTCTTCTCTTCTTCTTCTCTTCTTCTTCCTCTTCTTCTTCCTCTTCTTCTTCCTCTTCTTCTTCCTCTTCTTCTTCTCCTCTTCTTCTCTCCTCTTCTTCTTCCTCTTCTTCTTCTTCTCTTCTTTCTTCTTTCTCTTTTTTTCCTCATCCTCTTCTTCTTCTTCTTCCTTCTCTTCTTCCTTTTCCTCGTCTTCTTCTTCCTCGTCTTCTTCTTCCTCTTTTTCTTCTTCCTCTTCTTCTTCTGCTTCCTCTTCTGCTTCCTCTTCTTCTTCTTCCTCTTCTCCTTCTTCTTCTTCCTCTTCTTGTGCTTCCTCTTCTTCCTCTTCTTCTTCTGCTTCCTCTTCTTCTTCTTCCTCTTCTCCTTCTTCTGCTTCCTCTTCTTCTTCTTCCTCTTCTTCTTCTTCCTCTTCTTCTTCTTCCTCTTCTTCT